GTGTTTGAAACAAAGGAAGCACAGGCCGCATGGCAAGAGACTATAAAAGGCAGCTGCATCCCCTCCATCTTATCTTCAATCCTGCTTCTGACCTCTGGAGGAACTGTGCTTGAAACTGAAGCTCTGAACAAACGACTGAACGACCCATCCAAGCTGGGATGTTTGTACTCCAGAAACTTGATTTATTTAAATCAGCAGTAATCCCATCAAGCCTGAACTAAGAACTTTGCAATTGTTGTATGTATTTGATTCCATTTAACCAATTTTAACTCTCATCTATATTTCTTTCTTTTTATGAATAAACCTTTTGATTTTAGATGCTAAAGGATTGGCAACAGTGTGATTTGTGGGTAAGATTTGACTTGTATATTGACCAGGGTCAGGGGCTTGGTCCTTTGGGATTGGGAGAACCTTTTTTCTTTACTGGCGTATTGGTTTTCATAACCATTCATCCCCATAAGGAGCAGTGCTGGTAGTGATACTGGGAAACTGGAGTGTCTAAGGGAATTGCTTTTATGACTTCTGGTTAGCCAGGGTGGTAAAACCGAAGTCCTCTCTGTTTGGCTGGTTTGGTGTGCAAAGGACCCCCAGCCTTGGGCTGTAACTGCCCTGCTCTAAACAATTTGTCCTGAATTGATACTCTGAGTAGTGTCCAAAGGCCGTTTTATTACAGTGGCGTAGTCCCCAGCTTGTGGAGTTACATTACAAGATCAGAATTTCAGCATTCATTTAAAAAGTTTCAAGCCCTCATGGTCTCAAGCGAAAGCTTGATAACATGCACTGAATGCAGCTCATATCCATCTGAATGTTCAAACAGCCTGAAAAAATAACTCCAAGAGGTATGAACTAGAGTTCGAGTGTGTCTTGAAAATAATAGCTAAAGAGAGTGCCAACTGATATAATTGACTTCCTCTTTCAAATCAGCCTTTGTCAAAGTCCCTCACAAGACATTATAACGGAAATTAACACATGCGGCGAAAGGCAAAGTTTTTATGTCATGGCTCAAACTGGCTAAGATACAGAAAACAAAGAATAGGAATAAATAGGTCCTAACAAAGCTAGACAAACACCCAATGGCAGATGACATGCATTGTTGACAAGTCCAAGTTGGAAAGAATTATCTGAACTACTTATACACACTGCTGGATTCACTGTGAACAGGTCAATGAAGATTTCTGCTCAGTGTGCAACAGCCAAAAATAAACAAATGTTTGGATGCATAAGGAATGGAATAGAAAGTAATGCTGAAATTATTATAATAGCTTTTTTATAAATCAATGGTACACCCTCACCTAGAATACTAGAATTCCATTCTAGTTCTATACAAACGTGATCATGTTGGTATAAATAGGGGTACCACTGCAGGCAGGCTCGAGCAAAGTGATGAGGGTTTGGGGGTTGGTTTTTTTTGCATTTAGCACCAAATGCAAAAATGGTGGTCATTCTAACTGCATTTGGCAGTGAGTTCCATTGTTTCAGTCCAGCTCAGATGAAGGTTAGTCTTCCACAAGCACAAGTTTCATGCTATTTGACAAGGTTTTTATTCTAGTTGAACATATCTGGTGTGGGAAGGTTGTGGTCAGGGAGGGACAGAGAGAATCTCTCAGGTAACTAGGGCTAATCCCATTTCAACAAGATTGGGGGGGGGGGGGGGAGAGAGATCGTTTTTTAATCTTTTAAATTAAATACAGGTTCATTTAAAAAAATAAATCTGTAATTTAAAATTAAATGTGAAATTGACAACCTATGGGAAGGCATAAATGTGTTATCTACAAAAATCCTTTAAATTAAAAACAAAGCAGTTCATATTTGCTACCAAGTTCTAAAGAAAGTCAAACTACTGACTTGATGGTAAGAACCCAGAACCAGAGTTTGTTGAATGCTAAACCAGCTTTTGACAGCAGTAACTTCTTCTGCAAATATAGAGCGAATATTTTCTTCACTTCAATTTATTCTGTTCAATGACCAGTTAAAATTGAAAATTTAAGAAATCAATGGGCAGTTGAAAAAGTAGGAAAGTTTGTTTTCCTCTTCCAATCTATGAATAAAAACTAGGTGTGAGAGGATGAAATCTACTAGTTCTAAAGTCTTGAAGGTCTTGGTGACCAATAATTATTTCAATTCACTAACTACAGATAATTCTTCCTTTGTTTAATTAGTTTTTAAAAGCAAAATGTGTTTTGATAAACTTTGATACTTTTCCTTATTTCCAGCATACTTAAGGTCATTAAATTTAATAAACTAAATTTAAAAAAAATAAAATGGTGTATTTGTAATTGAATTTGAATTTCCATCCAAATAGAGCTTGACACAAATCACAAGTAAAAAATTAATAATCACCTAGTAAATAAGAAATGCATCTTGCATCATTTTTTAAAATAATAAAAAAATGTAAAAATTAAGAATATGAATAAATTTAACTTCATATAATATACATTTATATAGCTTATAGCAGTAGTTCTCAACCAGTGGTCTGGGGCCCGCCAAGCAGGACCAGAGTTAGACTCGCTGGAGCCCAGGGCAGAAAGCTGAAGCCCCACTGCATGGGGCTGAAGCCTGGGGCCCTGAGCCCCACCACCTGGAGCTGAAGCATAAGCCTGAGCAACTGGGGTATGGGGCCCTGGGCAATTGCCCTGCTTGCTACCCCTTAATGGCAACCCTGGCTTTTATATGCAGAAAACCAGTTGTTGTGGCACAGGTGGGCCGAGGAGTTTTTATAGCATGTGGGGGGTTGGGGAGGAGGCTCAGAAAGAAAAAGGTTGAGAACGCCTGGTTTACAGTGTATCCCTTGGGTTAGCAAGGAGAAGGACCAAATTTAGTGTAAAGGCTATATTTAGTTGCCTTTACACTAAATTTCTTTGGGATAACTAAAAAGTACAAATGCAAAACGTGATTAAAATTTATTATTTAAATCAAGGTTTCCTGCTTGCTGATATAAATCATAATCAAAATTGATTTAAATCAATCAATCAACTGTGCACATAGGGCTTTGAAAATCAGAACATCAGAACTCAGTTTTATTGGAGTGCCAGTGCAGAGAGTGCATTCCGGGGTGATCTGTTCCTGGCAACCTGTAATACTGAGCAGAATCACTGCTACACTCTGAATTAGCTAGAGATTTTTTCAGAGCGTGTCTTTGGTCATAGATATAAAGGATTGCAGTAGTTAAGCCCCATGGACCACTGTCTCCAGAACTGAGTCCTACAGGATTGGGCATAATCTTCTGGCCATATGCAAATAAAGTGGTGTGTTGGAAGGTGGTTGGTGGGGGAGAGAGATTTGCCACTATCGATATTCAAGCAATAGGACTCCCATTATAGCCCATAGGAGATGATTCCATTGAGCAATACATCTTCTGATAGGGAAAAAGTAGTCTGAATGTCAGGAAAGTTTTCCTAATTTCATTCCATTACTCCTAGTTATAGCCAAGGGTTTGAAATGAGCCACTTGGGAAACAGGACTGAATAGGGGGCAGCAATCGCCAGCGGAGGAAGAGGATGAAGGGCAATGAGGAAGCTACAAAAGAAGGGCAAGAACAGAAGTCCACAATATTGCCCTTGGGGGTAAGTTTAAGGACCATCTTATTCAGAACCCTTGGATAGTAAGGCCTTCAGGAGCAGGACCTGCTAACTTTTTTAGTCTGGTCATCATGTACATGGATAGGATTATAGAAAACATCATAAAATCCATCTCTGACAGGATGCTGATGATGACCTGTTTACATAGACTCTCAGTAAATCTTGCAAGCACTATAGTTTGCCATTGGCAAACTAGCAGAAGCCCTCATGGATGAGTCAAATCAAAATCCCCAGAACCAACAGTCTTCGGGAGCACCCCAAGAGCATAAAGGGAAATTCTTAGACATACTGAGGGGGGAACTTCCACATACAGGCCTCAGCAACAGGCACAAGTTAAGGGCAGATACTCCTGAGATACAAAATCAGGGGATGGACAGCTGAAAGCCTGACTTTTCAGAAATGATTAGCGCTCTCCTCTCCTATTGGCTTCAACTGGAGTTAATGATGATCAGCATTTCTGAAATACCCAGCCTTTAGAGTATTTGAAGCCACAGAGTAACAATGACAGTTCTGTAGTACTTTGCACCTCACACGGGTCTCCTAATGTCTCAAATTGAACCACGAGCTACTGCATAAAGTTCACTTCACCACCACCACCACCACCACTGTATAGCCATCCTAGTGTCACCTCTCCTACAGCTCCCAACCTGAGCCAATACAACACACAATGTTCAAACAAACTAGCCCTACCAAGGCCATGCTAGCTGCGTCTCCCAGAGAGGTCTCCATGAGAGACACAAGCATTGTGCAGCATAGCAGCCTCACACTCAGCACCAGTTTCAGATAATAAAGCAGACCATTACCCTATGTTCCCTAGTCCCGTCCTCTCACTCCTGCCCCCCGCACCTGAATAATCAAGCCCCAGAGAGGATGCTGTGAACAGTTCACTGGCAGGTAAGTAATATGGATTTCCAAGCAGTCACAGCACCACACATTAGGTTTCTGAATCTCCAACTCTGCTCACTGAATCTAGATGCCCTCTATGCAGTGACCATTAGTGACAATACCTTCCCTAAACCCCGCTTCTCAAACCAGGTAAGGCAGCTGAAAGCAGCCATATAACCTAGAAAGAGTTGTGGAAAAAAGCCCCTCTCGTTATTCCCAGGGGACAGTGGAGACAGGTGATCCTGTCTCCTACATTTCCCAAATATGGGGCTGGAAGGGGCTAGGAGATCATTAAAGTTCGGCATCCCAGTTTCCTCTACAATCTTTGGGGCTAGTACCTGAACTGAACTGCGACTGCATGTTAAGTGGGAACTGAGGTCCCAGCAGTGCATTGCCAAGTTCCTGTTCCCAACCATCTATACCTCACCTAAACCCTGTACCTGGGTCCAGAAGCCTGCATTACAAAGGGCGGGACAGCATGGGATAGAGGGGGGAAAGGAAAAACCTATCTGCTGCACCAGCTGGGCTTCAGCTCACCTGCTTTGGCAAAGTCATCCCGATTATAGCTCAGGTCCTTCAGAAAGGTGATGCTTTCAGTCTCTGGATTGTAGCGCCGGGATGTCTCCAACAGCATCACCTAAAACACACAGAGCCGGGGGGCCACACTCACAGCCTGATTGTGAATCCAGCAAAAATGTTACAGAAGCTACAGCTTGTCCTGAAGCATCAATGTAAAAAAGTCACCTACTCACCACCATCCTGTAGCCCTCTAAATTACAGAGTAAATCCTGCCCCATCCTCAGCAGTGCCTTCTGCAGAGATAGGCTGCACCTGGAGCAGCTGGGAGCTCTCCCCAGCCAGTGCTCTTGCCCTATTCCCTACTGTACCCCATGCTTGGAGAGGATGGCACTGGAATAGTGATTCCATATCTGAGGTTCCTTCCATCTCTCCTCCCCAGGTCGACTGCTCAAACCTGGCCCAGTATAAGCCAAAGGAGAAAAAATCCAATCCACCCACCAGAGAAACATACTTCTCTACTGGTGTCAATGGTGATGTGGCTGGATTCTCACCTCTATGGTGGATGTCTTCAGCAGAGCAATCTGATCTTCCCTGGTGAGCTCCAGGAAGCCGGGCAGCTGTTTGGCAAAGTCCACAATCTCTTGCACAGAGATGATTGCAAGCTCAGTGAAATGAGCAAAACGCTGCTGCCGTGCCTCACGGTTATGAGGGTCTGGAGCCTGAGGCCATGGCTGGGCGAGAAGAGACACAACGGGCGAGAGGGGACAGTGAAAGAAAGGAATAAAGAAAAACAATCCCCCAACCCTCTTCCTTGACACTCCCCACATACAATTAGCGCATGGCCCCCACCCCTGTGACACCTCTACATTTAGCGCTTAACCCCCCCCCCATCCCCTGCACTTCCCCACGCTTAGCACATGTTCCCTGCCCCATGCCACTCCTCCGTAAACGTAGTGTATGGCCCCCAGGTTGTGCCCCCTACACTTAGAGCACAGCCCTCCTGTGCTGCGCCCCTTCACTTCGCACATGACCCCAGCCTCCCCTTTCCCTCTGTATTTTGGAGTCTGCCCTTTGAGCCTGTACCGTCACTTTGAGCCTGTCTGTGAATGAGCGCTGGTTACACTGCTGCTGAGCTGCCACAAGCTTTTCTATCATGCCCAACTGCTCAGGTGTCAGTTTATAGGGGGGGTTGGGCGGAGATGGGGGGGTTGGGCGCACAACCACTGTCCGAGCCTGATCATCCTCCTGTTTCTTGAGCTTCTTCAGCCGGATCTGTTCTTCAGACAAAACACCTAAAAGGGGGAGACAGAAGAGGCTGCAGTGAGAGAGGAAGCAATGATGCCAGAAGCAAGGGGCACACAGTGGACTCAACTGCCAGATACAGGGAAACACAGTGGACACAACCAGGGCAAAGATGACGGCTGCCTTTCTGTGCCAGAATGCACCCCTGAATGCACCCAGAATTCACACCCTACATGCAACTTTGTACAAAATATGCCTTGTAAGGTATCACTTGAAAACTAATAACTTGCTGGTCAATATCCTCATGGTGAAATGTAGGTAGCAAAATTATATGTAAAGTTATGATTTCCCCCAAATGATGTTGGTGGCATTTGTTCAAACCCACATAGCCCAGATTAGGCAGACTTGGTCAAGAAGGTCTTATACAAAGAAATGTGTGTTTACCTCAGTTTACATATAGGGTGTAAACAGGATCCTCAGACAGCAAGAGGGGGAAGACAGGAGACAAGGAAAATCTGCATTTCAGCAAACAGAGGTGAGAAGAAACAGCATGCAACCTCTTTCACCCCCAGACACCATGTTGCCTTCTTTACTATTTGAATGAATATTAACTATGGGCAACCCTCAGGAAAATGCATTTCAAAGTGTAACTGAACTATAAAAGTGAGAGGCAAAAACACCCAAGTTATTTCTCCCACAGGGCCGCCCAGAGGATTCAGGGGGCCTGGGGCAAAGCGGGGGAGCGGACATAAAAAAAGGCACCACCCGCTGCAGCGCTTGTACTCACCGGGCGGCGCTCCGAGTCTGCGGCCGCAGGTCCTTCATGTGCTCTGCGTCTTTGGCAGCACTGAAGGACCCGCTGCCGAAGACCCGGAGCGACTGAAGGGCCCGCCGCGAAGTCCTGCCGAAGACCCAGACCGCCGCCGGGTGAGTAAAAATTAAAAAAAGGCACCCCTAGCCAGGGAAGGGATTCTCGGCCAGGGCTTGAGGGGCCCCTGCGGGGCCCGGAGCAAATTGCCCCACTTGCCCCCACCTCTGGGTGGCCCTGTTCTCCCAGTCTCCATCTCTTTCCTACCTAAGAAGACAAAGAAAACAGCCTATGGACTTTGGGACCAGCTCTTGGCCTGAGAGTTTGATCAGCAACATACTGAAAACATGTGGTAAGGGACTTCACCTTGAACATGCCATGTTAAGTTTAGAAAGTGTTTTATCTTTATTTTTCTTGTAACCATTTTTTACTTTAATACTTCATTACTTGTACTCACTTAAAATCTCTCTGTAGTTGAATGAACTTGTTTTATTCTTTAATTAAAACTAATCCAGTGTAGTGAATTGTTTGGGTAACTCCATTTAAGGTAGCAGACCGTTGTATGTTGATCCCCTTACAGGGGCAATGGACCTAATATATCTGGACTATCCAGGAGAGGGCCGGTCAGTACAGAACACACACTTTTGGGGGGAAATCTGTGACTGGCAATGTGTTGGGGTCACCCTGCAAGTAGTAACAAAGGCTGCTGGAAGCCAGAGTGCAGCTGGTGTTTGCTGACACACTATTGGAGTCAGAGCTGCTGGACTAGGGCTATGGCTATGCACAGACACTCAGAATGTGACCTATATGCTATTTGTGAGGAGCCCAGTTTGGGAGCTACAGCACCAAAGCATTGTGAGGCACCCCAGGTTGCAGGGCAAGTAGTGACACAGATCCTCACTGGTCTGGACTGCACCCTAAAATGTCATACTTTCCAAATGTACATAAAATCATAGGACTGGAAGGGACTTCAAGAGGTCATCTAGTCCAGTCCCCTGTACTCAAGGCAGGACTAAGTATTATCTAGACCATCCCTGACAGGTGTTTGGAGATTTTTAAGAGCAGGTTAGACAATGAGAGATTCCACAACTTCCCTAGGCAATTTATTCCAGTGTTTAACCACCCAGACAGGAAGCTTTTTCCTAATGTCCAATCTAAACCAACCTTGCTGCAATTTAAGCCCATTGCTTCTTCTCCTATCCTACCAAGAACAATTTTCTCCCTCCTCCTTGTACGCTTTTATGTACTTGAAAACTGTTACCGTGTCCCCTCTCAGTCTTCTCTTCGCCAGATTAAACAAACTCAATTTTTTCAATCCTCCCTCATAGGTTATGTTTTCTAGACCTTTAATCATTTTTGTTGCTCTTCTCTGGACTTTCTCCAATTTATCCACATCTTTCCTGAAGTGTGGTACCCAGAACTGGACACAATACCCCAGTTGTGGCCTAATCAGCATGGAGTAGAATAGAATTACTTCTTTTCTTCTTTACAACACTCCTGTTGATACATCCCAGAATTATGTTTGCTTTTTTTTTTTTTTTCTTCCCCGAACAGTGTTACTCTTGACTCAGATTTAGCTTCTGATCCACTATGACTCTCAGTACTCCTTCCTAGGCAGTCATTTCCTATTTTGTATGTGTGCAACTGATTACTTCTTCCTAAGTGAAGTACTTTCCATTTGTCCTTGTTGAATTTCATCCTGTTTACTTCAGACCATTTCTCCAGTTTGTCCAGATCATTTTCAATTTTAATCCTGTTCTCCAAAGCACCTGCAACCCCTCCCAGCTTGGTATCATCCACAAACTTTATAAGTGTACTCTCTATGCCATTATCTAAATCGTTGATGAAGATATTGAACAGAACCGGACCCTGCGGGACCCCATTTGTTATGCCCTTCGAGCTTGACTGTGAACCATTGTTAACTACTCTCTAAGAACAGTTTTCCAAACAGTTCTGCACCCACCACATACTAACTCCATCTAGGTTGTATTTCCCTACTTTGTTTATGAGACGGTCATGCGAGACAGTATCAAAAGCTTGACTAAAGTCAAGGAATACCACATCTACTGCTTTCCCCCATCCACAAGGCTTGTTAACCTGTCAAAGAAAGCTATTAGGTTGGTTTGACACAATCTATTCTTGACAAATCCACGCTGATTGTTATTTATCACCTTATTATCTTCTAGATGTTTGCAAATTGATTGCTTAATTATTTGCTCCATCATCTTTCCAGATACTGAAGTTATGCTGACTGGTCTATAATTTCCCAGGTTGTCCTTGTTCCCGTTTTATAGATGGGCAAATATATTTGCCCATTTCCAGTCCTCTGGAATCTCTCCTGTCTTCCATAACTTTTTTAAGATTATCACTAGTGGCTCAGACCTCTCCTGAGTAAGTTCCTTGAGTATTCTAGGGTGTATTTCATCAGGCCCTGTGACCTGAAGACATCTAACTTGTCTATGTAATTTTTAACTTGTTCTCTCCCTCTTTTAGCCTCTGATCCTACCTCATTTTCACTGGCATTTACTATGTTAGATGTCCAGTCCAATCACTACTAAACTTTTTGGTGAAAAATGTAACAAAAATATAATCTAGCACGTCTGCCATTTCCACATTTTCTATTATTGTCGTTCCCCCCTCCCCCTCCATTGAGTAATGGGTCTACCCTGTTCTTGATCTTTCTGTTGCTTCTAATGTATTTGTAGACTGTTTTCTTATTACCCTTTAGGTCTCTAGCTAGTTTAATCTCATTTTGTGCCTTGGCCTTTTTAATTTTGTCCCTATACACTTGTGTTATTTGTTTATATTCATCCTTTGTAATTAGGCCTAGTTTTTGAGTTTCAGATCACTGAAGATCTCCTGGTTAAGCCAAGGTGATCTCTTGCCATACTTCCTATCTTTCCTACACAGTGGGATAGTTTGCTCTTGTGCCCTTAACAATGTCTCTTTGAAAAACTGCCAACTCTCTTGACCCTTAGACTTGCTTTCCATGGGATCTTACCTATCAACTCCCTAAGTTTGCTAATAAGTATATTTTAAACATATGTGATACAGGGTGTAGGCGACGGTAGAAAACATCCATTTGTGCCTGTTCCCAGTTTTGGTTTGTTCCACTGCCAATTTCTTATAGTTCTGTTCTGCCAAAGGATCCATGCATTCATCATGAAGGGTAAGGCCTATGCCTTGCTACACCTTTGCACAATCCATGCAGATGCCATGGCAGGGGCTCACCAGCTTCCCCATTAGCCACTGTCCAATATATTCTGGAATCCATTACTACAAGCAATGTCCTATTTGGGTGGCTCTGCGTTTGGGGACAGGGGGAAGGCTGGATTTTATTATTGCTTTTTCTTGTTTTGATTTTGCTTTATAATCAGTTTTTATCTGTATTTCCACAAAGGATCCAGAGACAGGAGTGGAATGGGCCCAGGTTTGGTAGAACAGTGCAGATGATGGGAGGAGATGCAGCCCAGTTATTTCCCCCAACACAACAAGTAGGTGTTGAACCACTAGGAGGCCATCTGGGATTTACTTGCAGAATGTGAGTGAGATGTGGGGAAATGGGTAGCTTTGCTGTGTTTTTTCCAATCAAGTCCCATCTCCTGCTCTCAGGAGTATGAGTGATGGTGTTGAGGCAGAATTCATATGGCTACACCAATCCCACTGCAGTATACACATTGATTTAGGGCATGGCTGTGTGCTATGGCTCACGGTGTATCCTTTTTCACTGCTCTGGGCTTTGGGGTGTGGGGAAGGGGGAAACCAGACAAGCTGAGTACCAACTGAGTTTCTCTTGGGCCTACATGTCCTACAAGGTGGCTTGATATGTGACAGAGATAGTTCTCTAAGCTGTCACTGAAAGGTGGGCAGGAGCACTGAAGGACTGTACCAGGTGGACTGAGCTCCTGGTCTACACTAGCAATGCAACAGAGAAGAGCAACTGAGCGCAGGAAGTAAAATTGAGTGCCAAAACTGGGCATGTGTAAGTGCAGTTGCAATGGTGTGGCAATATTTGTGCACTTGTTACAAGTTCTGTGTGTGGATACAACGTGTGTTACAAGCATAGCAAATGCTTGCAATAGTGCTGACTATGCAGACAGCATAATGACGCTTCACACATTCAAAATCACAAGACAGTCAGCTTGCCAAGAACTTCATTGGTGTGTGGGCAGCTGTGCCTCTGAAGGTTATTTTTAGATTGTTTCAGAGTAAACAGTTCCTTTTCCCAGCCACGTAGATACTAGGAAGCATGGCCACTGTATGCACCCACAGCATCAATATCTCCACTAACAGCCTCACCGCTCCGGCATAGCCCACAATGACTACATTCCCCACAAGTGCTTCTGAACCCACGCTGCTCCTGCATGCCACCCTCCCTTGCACCCGCACTGCTCCAACGTGCCTCCCTCCCCTGCACTCACACTGCTCCCGCATGCCTGCCTCCTGGCACTTGCGCAGCCGGCACTCCTGGCACTTGCGGCGCATGTACATGTCCATCTCACACTTGCCACCGTTCTTGCAGACGTACTGGGCACCCTTGATGACGCTGCGGCGGAAGAAGCCCTTACAGCCTTCGCAGCTCAGCACGTTGTAGTGGAAGCCTGAGGCCTTGTCCCCACATACACTGCACACTTCATTCCCCAGCATCTTGGGGGCTGGACCCTTCTTCCGCTTCAGGGGTGGATTTTCTACAGAGATGGACAAAGAGAAGTGGAGGCTGTGAATAGGCCAGGACATCCAGTTCCCTAGAAAAGCCAGTGCCCTAGCACAAATCCACTCCCACCCATGGTGGCAGAGATACATCCTGGGAATCAGAGTCAGTTTCAGGCTCAGATCTCTCTCACTCTCCATCTGGATGAGAACTCCTTCTCTTACTCAGAGCTACTAGAGATGCCAACTGCTGCCCGAACCTGAGCACAACACTGCTCCAATTTTTAACCCAATGTTCAGGCTTCTGGGGGATGGGAATGGGGAGAGGCAGCCCCTGCTGCTTTCAGCCCCAAGAGTTAGATGTGTTCAGACTAGATACCCTTTTGCACTTTCATCTCTCTAAGTCTGACAAGGTGGGAGTGACCTTCAGTGGCATATGAAAGAGCTGCAAAAAGGAGAAGTCCAAATCTAAAGCCAAATCCCAAACTGCACAGAAAATCTATTCTTTCAAAATTTGTCTCTGGTGCTCTCACTTCCACTCTGCACCCTCTGCCCTGCCCCCCGAGGCAACAACGGGCAACGCTATATACAGGTGTTTGAAGAGCAAGACTTCAGCACCACATTACCTCAGTGGCACTCGAACCCCATACAGATGATATTGAAATATGGCTCAGCAGCCCAAGAGTCACAGGAAGAGGGGCTGAGAAGAGGGTGTTACGGAAAACTCAGACTAAAGCAGACAACACCCATGAAGCGAAGCCTTGGAGAACCAGCCAAGAGGGAAAATAGTGCAAAAGTGGGGGCCACATGGCACTAGCTCAATTAATCCTTGGTCCTGAAGTGTTCTTAGCTTCTACCACCTGCACATACCGCCCCATGCAAGAACCCTCCCATCCACTCCTAAATCCAAAGATCTCCCATGACTGACAGAAGTCTGTCTTTTTTATTCCCTGTGGGCTCAGCCACTAGAGGACAACATCACACGCACATACACACACACACACACAAAGCCAGTACATTACAGCACACCTGTTGTCACCATTTACATCCTGAAGAACCCCATCCTCTCTCCCACCAACTGACAACTCTTCTTCTACTCCCTTAGCCCATCAAGTGCCCTGCATGTAATGGATCAAACCCTAAGCAGCCATTTTGTATGTGATTCAGTCAGCACATCGCCTTCACACTGTGTGGATGTCACAATGACCACCTTACCTGCATGCTCGTGGGGGATCTCCAAGCCATGGAAGAGTGAAAACCCTTCCTCCTCCATTTCAAATACACTTGCCACCCTTTTCCCATGATCCTGTGCAGCAAGCTGTGTGGGACCCATGGGATACACTGGCAAGACTCACTATCATTTCATCTCTGTAGCATGGTTACTGCTGTGTGTGATGCTGCAGAAGTCTTCAAGGCTGTTAGATTCTCTCTGCTGTTTAAAAACTGACTGGAGGTGCCTGTGGAGAAAAACAGAAGCATAAGAGGAGAGAATTTAAATGCAGGGGCTACCAATCCAGCTATACTTTGAGGCCTTGCTCCATCAGTCACACAAAGAGACGATCAGCCTTGTTATTTATGTTTATTTCCTTAAAACCCTATGTGAATGTGATGCAAGTTACAAGATTTAGCAGACCCTGGAGAATGAATCCTCTGTTTAACCCCAGAATATATACCATTGCAGGACAAGCTTTCCCTACCACACACATCACCACTGAACCTCAGCTCTGACCTGCAGGGACATCCCCAAGTGTGAGAGAGGGGTATTCCAATCTCCACACCCTTTGTCAAACCTGCCAATAAGGGGCTGCTAATCTGTGCCAGCTGTGATGGATTTTGTGATGTGCCTTGAGGAGCTCACATTATAAAGAATGTAAGGTCTTTACAATTATACCACAATAAAATCTTCATTGTGATACTAACAGCTGCCCTATGTTGTGCTCAGGATCAATGTCATTTAAAGCAATGTCTCTCAACCTTTCCAAACTATTATACCCCTTGCAGGAGTCTGATTTGTCTTGCGTACCCCAAGTGGTACCCTCACTTAAAAAACTACTTGCTTACAAAATCAGACATAAAAATACAAAAAAGTGTCACAGCGCACTACGATTGAAAAATTGTTTACTTTCTTATTTTTACCATATAATTATAAAGTAAATCAATTGGAATATAAATATTGTTCTCACATTTCAGTATATAGAGCAATAGAAACAAGTCATCGTCTGTATGAAATTTTATTTTGTCCTGACTTAGCTAGTGCTTTTTAGGTAGCCTGTTGTAAAACTAGATAAGTTGGTGTGCCCCCTGGAAGACCTTTGCGTCCCCTAGGGGTAAAAGTACCCTGGCTGAGAGCCACTGATTTAGAGCACAGGTACAAACTATAGCAGGAGATAAAACTCCTACATCAGATCTATGGAAAATGGCTATAATCCTTCTTCAGGCAAATGCATTCACAGCCAAAGATGCCATCTGAAGGGCTCCCCTCTCAGACACCTGGGAAACACAAAGTCCACATCCATTGTTTAAGTCCACTACAGGAGCAGAGCATCTGTCTACAGCCATATTGAGAAGAAGACCTAGTCAAATTTCTCAAAGGGTCTCGTCTATACAAAGAGTTGGACCAGTTTAACTAGACTAAGTTTAAACCAGTGCAAACTCCTAATGTAGACCTACCTAAACTGGTTTAATATTCATTTATCAGTTTAGCTTAATTCAGCAATTTACCAATGCAAGCTTAAGGGTTACAGCAGTTTAAGTCCATCTACATCAGGGGTAGGCAACCTATGGCACCCGTGCTGAAGGCGGCACGCAAGCTGATTTTCAGTGGCACTAACACTGCCGGGTCCTGGCTACCGGTCCGGGGGGCTCTGCATTTTAATTTAATTTAATTTTAAATAAAGCTTCTTAAACATTTTAAAAACCTTATTTACTTTACATACAACAATAGTTTAGGTATATATTATAGAAAAAGACCTTCTAAAAACGTTAAAATGTATTACTGGCACACAAAACCTTAAATTAGAGTGAATAAATGAAGACTCAGCACACCACTTCTGACATTGCCTACCCCGATCTACATTAAGGGTTTGTACCAATTTGACTGGACAGATTTAAAATCTATTTAGTTAAACTAATGCAACTTTTCAAGTATAGACAATCCAAAGACTACTGCAATGTCCCCAATGGAACCAACAAGCATAAATTGAGACATACTGTTGAGTCTGTTGGACCCCTGCCTGGTTCCATTATATTCTGCCAGATAACAGATGCAGGAAGTTTAATGTCCACAGGCCATATTAAAACATGATCTGTGTAGATAAGGCCTTAGCCTTGATCTGGACAATGTGAGGAGTAAAGAGTCCCTCTCCCTTTAGTCCCTGAGCGACTGGAGAAATAGATACTCCAGAAGAAATACAATGGCAGCAAAAGGGAAACCCGTGAACTGGCAGAGAGAATAAAAAAATCCCTACATGCAGGATAGTGAGCTAATGTATCTGGGTTTGGGAAAATGCAAGAAGGCTCCCAGTGCCTTTATGCCCAAAGGCACGAAGTGGATAGTTACAGCTGGCTTGAAAACCACGCCGATGTAAATGCTGTAGTGAACAAAAGTCCTCTGGGGATGGGATCTGGAGATGAACAAACCCCACACCCACTGTTTGTTCTTAGTCCCACATTTGCTCTGCATTGGCACAGCTGTGAGCAGCATGTCCAGCCATGTTTGGGTGTGACAGGCAGAGAGCTGAGTATACTTGCCCTGAGGATAGATTCTGCTGAGCACACTTGTTCATGAATTTAAAATTATGAGGAAGATTCATTCAAAAAATATTAATTATTTTTAAAGAATTACCCTATAGACCACAGTAGCTCTGCAAATATTAGTAGAGGAAGGGGCCAGTTCTGTAACTGAAGGACTGCTTGGGCTCCTATTACTTTTGATGATTAAGCACCCCAGTGCAGCCAGCCTATGTATGCTAGGAAATAGGGAAGAGGACCAGACACCCAGAACCAAAGAGAAGAACAGGGATATCTGCCTGGTGAGATTTCCAAAGTGACATATCTTCAATGCACAAACAGGTCGAACTCATGTAACAAGAGTTAAACTAGCTGTTGGGTGGGTATTTTGAGCCCAAAGAGGAGTTTCTGACAGAAGAGACACGACGCTCCCTGTCTGTGCATTAATAGTCTGAGTTATGCAGAGGATGCCTAACTTTCCCAGTGTAGGGAGGTAGCGGACAGCTGGGAGCAGAGATACTCCAGAGAAGCCTTCGCTAAAGCACTGTGTAATCAGGCCCGGACTCACCCCTGCGGCGCCTCCTGCTGGTTGTCTCGGGAATTAGTTCACTCAGCATCCAGAGCACCCTCTGCAGGCCAGGTGTCCCGCCTGTCGTTGGCCCCCGTGTCCCTCGGCTTGGGCGCTGCCCCCCTGGCAGTACCCCACTCTCTCTCTGGGTCTCCCCACCCAGGGGAGACCCCACCCCCTATCCCAATGTCACCTCAGTCATGGCTACTGCCAGTCACCATCTAGCCCCCACGCCCTGGGGCAGACTGCAATCTATCAGCCAATCATCACAGGCAACAAGGGGTTTGGACTGGCTGCCTTTACCCACCCTCAGGTTGCCCCTCTGCAACCCCAATACCTATATGGGCCTAGGACCAGGCCCTGCAGCCTGGGGAGTTGCTGGCCTCGGGCTTCCCAGCCCCCAAGGCCTTTCCCCAGCCCTGCCTCACTTTAGGTCCCCAGGTGAGCTTCCCTGCAGCCAGGCCTCTCTCTCTCTCTCTCTGCACTCAGAAGGAGACTCCTCAGCTTCTGGCTACCCTGGCCTTCTTATAAGGCTGAGTTGCTCAGCTGGGGCATGGCCCCAGCTGCAGCCACTTCCCCAATCAGCCGGGGTTTGCCCCTTTACACAGCCCCCGCCCTCTGCAGGGTTTTTCCAACCCCTTCAGGGCTGGAGCGGGCATTCACCCCGCTACACACTGCATTTTCCTTTTACCTTTATGAATCCAGTAGCAGCTTCGGGCTGATGGTGTTTGACCTAGATGCAAGCCGTAGCATCTGTGTACTGGGTGGGGAGACTGAGTAAGCAGGGCCTTCCAGGGGAGCTAGGGCAGCTATAGCAGAGCAGCCCTGGCCGTGGACCATCAGTGGTGACAGGGAGATGGGAAGCCTGTGCAACAGAGTAATGGAGGCTGATTTTCATTTTCAATTTTTTTAAGTGTCTTTTCTAATTCCTCTCTCTCATTAGGCTGGAATCTCTGTGAGCTCACCCTGAATACAAATAAATGATTGTCTTCATGCTGTGAAACCAACTCAAGTGTCCCCATTCCATGCGCTAACAGTAGGTCAGAGTCAGAGAGGTGGCTACTTGCCTCCCATCTTAACACAGGTCTAGGCAAATCCTACCAAAAGCTGGACTTCTACTCACCTTACAAGTCACCAGGAGATGTCACAGGAAGCAACGTAAAGATTTAGGGCTGAGTTTTCAAAGGGTTGAGGTTCCACCTCCCTTTTGTACCAGCAATCGGGTAGTTAAGAATTGTAAGTAATTGTAAGAGCCCCTGCAGCCAGCATTCCCACTCCCACGGCTCCACTCCTGTCCCCCACAAAAACTCTCTATACAGATTTGCACCTAAAACTCAATTACAGATGTAAAACTGTGATGCTAATTGTACCTGCAAAAGGAAAACTTTATCTTCCTTATACAGCCTGCTGTGCTACCCCACCTGTTGGTCCCAATTCCTGGTGCCACTTCTGAAAACCAGAGCTGGCAAAATGATAAAACAGGGCAACCCCTCACTCCCAAATGCAGCATCTGGAACAGAGAAATCCACTGAGTGCAGCCTCCAATGAGGAAGTCAATCTAGGTGAAAGGCTAGGGGAAGCAGTTCTCCCACAAACTGTCATTCATGTCTCAGATCAAGGCGCCAAGCACTTCCGAGATGTGCTGGCACCAGCTTCTTCACCCTCCCTTCCCCCCACCCCTCCCGGAGACAGCTGAACAACTCAGAGACCGAAAGTCCCAAGTTCAGCCCTTTGGTAACCCTTGTGTTTCAAACTGTAGGCAAAGTACCCATAAAATATCTTGATACAAGCCACAGCATTCAGCCTTGTCCTCTGCAGTGAGTGCTCCCACCCTCATACCCACAGAGCCCCTGCAGCCAGCATTCCCACTCCCACAGCCAGGGCTCCCCTCCTGTCCCACACAGAAACTCTCTATACAGCCAGGGCTCTTATCCATTCCTTCACAGGGACTAACCCCCACAGCCTGAGTTCCCACCCCATCCCACAGGCAACAGTCCCATTCCAATTCCCAAGAGAACTTCTCCTCCATTCATTCTGGATATCTTCCATCTGATCAGTAATCAAGAGTCACAGCTGCCTGGGATATGTCTAAATTCTGTCCCCTAGCCACAAAAGATACAAGTAAAGGAGATGACCTCGGGCAGAGTACAGTTTGTACAC